ACGGGATCGACCAGCTCCGGAGCGCCGAGGTGGCGGCCGCGGAGACAGTGGGTGTCGATGACCTCAACACGAATGCGAAGATCGTCTGGGAGTACATCAACCCCGCCCAGGTCAACATTGTCAGGGCTACCCAGTTTCTCTTCAGCGGAGGGGGGAGCTCCCACGTGGCGTCGTCGCACCACCGCGCCATGCTGGGCTTCGCGCTTCACGGTAATGCTCTCCACAACGACCGCTCAGGGGACGCCGTGACGCTCGAGCAGTTCCAAGCGGCTGTGCGGGCTCGCCACGCCCAGGGACCCGTCGACGAGGAGGAGCCCCCCCACAAGAAGATCAAGCCGGGCACGGCGGTTGCGGCGGGCTTTCAGTGATGGGCCTGCCGCGCTGAATCGGCGCGAGGCTGTGACTCCCGGAGTTTCGGGATTTTCAAGGCGCCCGTTGGCGCAAGCACTAGGGCGTGCACCATTGCGAGCTCGCCGATGAAGGTCGCCCCGTCCACCTTGTCCTCTCCCCCTTCACCGCGCGCCCCTCTTTTGCCTCGCCTCCTCTCCGCCGTTCCATCCCGCCGCCCTCCGCGCCGGGGCCCGGCGCAGTCCGCGGGCGTCAGGGATCCGGCGTGTCGCCCGTCTAAGCCCGCCGGCCCCCGCAAAGATAAGTAATCCCCCCAAAGGGGGTGTGTTCGAAGACAAAGAGGGCGGGCATCGAGGGTGTGGGGTATACGTTTTGAAAGACTCGCGGGCAAGTAAGAGCGAAAACGTGGCTGCGGCCTAGGCGCGGCGGGGGGGGCGTGCACCCAGGGGCCCAACAATAATTATTCTTTAGAAGTAATAATATTCAACAACAACAACAACAACAACAAGAACATCAAGAACATCAACAACAACAACAACAACAACAACAACAACAACAACAACAACAACAACAATTACTAGCACGTGGGGACACTCCGTTCTCACCAGTGCCAGGTTTTTCATAGGAGGCGGGCAATACCCCCACTTTGTGGGGGGGCCGGTTCAAGCTCTACCAAATTTCCAAACGACTCTTCGCCACCACCCACACCCAGCTTCCCGCCCTATGACGTTCGGACACTCCACTTCGTGGCATGCGGACGACCGTGGCTACTATTCAGGGCCCCGCGGCCGACGACGACGGCGTGCGCGCGCGAAAAAAAACGAATGTGTCCCGCATGGTATTATTTGACAGGGATGATGGCCCTGGCAGGTGCGCAACCGTTGTCGCAGAAGTTCGAAAAAGTTGCTCGCAAAAGCCCGTTTGACAGAAATGTTTTAAAAGTGTTGGGTTTCCTACGAATCCGCAAGAGCGCGCGGGATGAGATTTTGACAATTTTTTGTTGAAAAACCATTGTTTTTTTTTTTTTTTTAATGTTTTTATGTTAAAATCGTTGCGAACACTAAGCTTTTGGAAGGATTTCGTCTTGCGCGCGCGAATGTCCACTTTACCTTTTTTTTGCAAGGGATTCTTGAAGTTTGGTTATGTTAGAACAAGAAATGTCCACTTTAGCTTATTTTTTGCAAAGGAAAACCGATCGTAACAACACAACCGGATCCGGACCAACCCGTTTTGCCTGAGACTTCCTCACGAAAATGATGAAAATGAGGCTGCGGCCTAGGCGCGGCGGGGGGGTCGTGCACCAGGGGTCCCAACAATAATTATTCTTTAGAAGTAATATGTTCAACAACAACAACAACAACAACATAGCAGCAGCAAGCAAGCAGCAGCATCAACAACACCAACAACAACAACAACCAACAACAACAACAACCCCAACAGCAACAGCAACAGCAACAGCACACAACAACAACAACAACAACAACAACAATTACTAGCACGTTGGGACACACCGTTCTCACCAGTGCCAGGGTTTTCATAGGAGGCGGGCAATACCCCACTTTGTGGGGGGGCCGGTTCAAGCTCTACCAAATTTCCAAACGACTCTTCGCCCCCACCCACACCCAGCTTCCCGCCCTATGACGTTCGGACACTTCACTTCGTGGCATGCGGACGACCGTGGCTACTATTCAGGGCCCCGCGGCCGACGACGACGGCGTGCGCGCGCGAAGAAAAAACAAATGTGTCCCGCATGGTATTATTTGACAGGGATGATGGCCCTGGCAGGTGCGCAACCGTTGTTGCAGAAGTTCGAAAAAGTTGCTCGCAAAAGCCCGTTTGACAAAAATGATTAAAAAGTGTTGGGTTTCCTACAAATCCGCAAGAGCGCGCGGGATGAAATGTTGACATTGTGTTTTGAAAAACCATTGGTTGTTTGATGTTTTTATGTTAAAATCGCTACGAAAACTAAGGTTTTGGAAGGATTTCGTCTTGCGCGCGCGAATGTCCACTTTACCTTATTTGTTGCAAGGGATTCTTGAAGTTTGGTTATGTTAGAACAAGAAATGTCCACTTTAGCTTATTTTTTTTGCAAGGGAAAACCGATCGTAACAACACAACCGGATCCGGACCAACCCGTTTTGCCTGAGACTTCCTCACGAAAATGATGAAAATGAGGCTGCGGCCTAGGCGCGGCGGGGGGGTCGTGCACCAGGGGCCCCAACAATAATTATTCATTAGAAGTAATAATGTTCAACAACAACAACAACAACAACAACAACAACAACAACAACAACAACAACAACAACAACAACAACAACAACAACCACAACCATAACCACAATCACCATAACCACAACCACAACCACCATAGCCACAACCACAGCCACGACCACAACCACAACAACAACGACTTCGAAGTCCTCTGGCTCTGCACTCCAAGGCCCGACGCCGAGTATAGAAGAACAGGGCGAGGAGGAGGAGAAGGATATGATCGAGCAGTCCTTGGCATACCACGCATGAGGGCGGCGGGGTGCGTCCCGAAACGGGGGGGGGAGGGGGAGACCCCCGACCGCGCTGGCGGGGACCCACTCTCCCGAGAACCCGAAGCCCCGTCCTCTTCCTCCTCTTGCTCCACCTCCACCTCCTCCTCCTCCTCCTCTTCCTCCTCCTCCTCCTCCCCCTCCTCCTCCTCCTCCCCCTACTCCTCCTCCTTCTCCTTCTCCTCCTGCTCCTCCTCCTCCTTCTCCTCCTCCTCCTCCACCTCTTCCTCCTCCTCCTCCTCCTGCTCCTCCTCGTCCCCCTTCTCCTCCTCCTCTTCCTCTTCCTCCTCCTCCTCCTCCGCCCCTCTCGCTTCTCATGATCCTGTTCCTCCTGCTCCTCCTGCTCCTCCTGCTCCTCCTCCTCCTCCTCCTCCTCATCCTTCTCCTCCTCCTCATCACCATCATCATATTTAACTGCCTCTTCCCTTATGCTTCCCCCTCCTCCTCCTTTTCCTGCTCATCTTTCCCCTCCCCCCCGCTCCTGCCATCTCCTTTTCCATGCTCCCCTCCCTCTCTCTCTCTTTGTTGTTCTCTCTCTCTCTCTCCTTTTGTTGTCCCTCTCTCTCTCTGTGTTTCTCTCTCTCTCTCTCTCTCGGCGCGCTCGGACGCGCAGGCGTCGCTACCCCTTCTCCTCCCCGAAGGGAGGAGAGGCGACGACAACGACACAGAAGGAGGAGGGAGAACAGGAAGGAAGGTACGGCGATCGAGGAGGGCGCGGAGGACAACTAATAATGATAGTGATCAAGGTATCAATAGTAAGAACAATGACGTTACGAATGATAACACATACGTAAATAATTACTCGCGCCCCAAGTAACAACACAACGAACTCGAATGCACGTAACACTCGTATTGATAATCATCGATATGTCACACGAATGACACTGTATAACGTGAAGGTGCGAACAATAACGTTACGTATGCCACTCATATAACGACCAATTATAATAATGTGAGCGCGATTACTAGCACTACGAAGCCTGATACGACTAACAAGCTCATATTAAGAATACTACCAGAATGCGAATACTGGTCAGCATCGTGAAAAAACAGTACTACTACTACTACTACTACTACTACTACTACCACCACCACCACCACCACCACCACCACCACCACCACCACCACCACCACCACCACCACCACCACCACCACCACCACCACCACCACCACCACTACTACTACTAAACAGACTACTACAAAAAACTACACTACTACTACTACTACAACAACTACGAACAAACCCTACTAACGACTACTACTACGACTACGAAAACTAACGACTACGAACTTCGACTACTACGACTACAACAACTACTACTTCCACGACTACTACGACTACTACGACTACTACGACTACTACTACTCATACTACTACTACTACTACTACTACTACTACTACTACTACTACTACTACTACTACTACTACTACTACTACTACTACTACTGCTACTACTACTAGTACCACCAGCCCTTTGGGCGTGAGTGGTTTAAAGAGCTCTCTCTCTGTCCTCACCCCCCCTTCTTCCCCTTCGGGGAGGGGTTTACCCCTCCCCCTACCCCCTCCCCTGGACCTGGAGAGGGCGGGCCGAGTGGTGTCAGGGGGATCTTTTTCGACTCCTGGGAGGGCCAAGAAACGACAACCCTCACGAGGATTCTGGCCCCCAGGGGGGGGGAGTTTGGCGCCTCTACTCCTCTTCGGAGCAGAAATCATTGATTTTACCAGGGTTTTGGCCCCATTCTGGACTTCTGAAGGGGGCCGCGCTCATCGTCCTTCATAGCAAAGGAATAATAATCAAAATCAATGATTTTTACGAAAGGTTATGGCTCAATTTGTCGTCTCGGGCCATCTCTACTTTTGCGCTTCTGAGGAGGTCGCAAGAGGCCCCAAGATGGCCCCAAGAGGCCCCCAAGAGGCCCCCAAGAGGCCTCCAAGAGGCCCCCAAGAGGCCCCCAAGAGGCCCCAAGAGGCCCCCAAGAGGCCCCCAAGAGGCCCCCAAGAGCCCCAAGAGGCCCCAAGAGGCCCCCAAGAGGCCCCCAAGAGGCCTTTTTTTTTTCACCCCAGATCCAGCGCCGCGGACTCCGCCACGCTGGAGGCTTGCCGCACTGAGCTCAGTGCGGCCCCGCGAGGCCCGCGGGCCTCACCCACCTCTCCTCGTGGGCACCATCTCGGCGGGGAGCGGCCTGCCCGTCTGCGGGTGGCAGCCGCGGAGGATGCGGCCCCGCCTCTTCCTCCTGGAGTCCGCTCCTCCGTCGGCCCCTCGCGGCGGCAGGGGCCCAGGGCAGGCGCGGCCCAAGTTGGCCCTCCTCACCGCCGAGTGGGCCCCGCACACGCGGCAGACGACGTAGGGGCCGACGACCTCCACGACGCGCGCCCTCCTGAGGTCCTCCTCAGCGCACGGCGGGCCCTCGAGGACAGGCACGTCCGCCGCCTCCCTGCGTCTCCGAGGCGACCTCGACCTCCGAGGTGACCTCCCCGCAGCACTGCCGTCATCTCCATCATCTCCGCCTGCAGCTGCCGCCGCCACCGCCACGCCAGCGCAGGCCGCCGCCGCCCTCACAGCGCCGCCAGCCCCACGCCCTGCAGCCGTGGACGCCTCCTGCCTTGCCGCCCTCTGCCTCCGCGCGCATGCGGCTCCCACTCTAGCCTCCAGCGAGCCCCACTCCACGCTGGACTGGTGGCCCACCGCCTGCCAGGGAGGGGGTGCGCAAGCGGAGGCCCACAGCTTCTTCCTCATCCTGGCCGAAGCTGCACGCTTGCCGCACCGCGTGCACACCAGCCAAGCTCCACGCACCTCGACCTCGTGCCTCGTGAGGCTGACGTAGGGCCTCTGCTGCTTCCTCCTTCTACTCGGCCCCGTCCTGGGCGGCACGTCGGGCCACCCTTCTTTCATCTCCTGGTGCCACCAGCCGATGTTCTGGATGGCCCACTTCACCTTCTCATCCAGGCTCTCCAGGGTCTGCTCCCTGCCGTACCCGAAGTCCTCCGCGGCCCCACGCTTGGCCAGGGCGTCCACCGCCTCATTGCCCCTGGCCACTTGCTGCGCCAAGCCCTCGAGCCTGCTGATGGCCGCTCTGGACCTGTGGGCCTTCACATGCATCACCCACTCTGGCTCAAGTCCCACGTCCGCGATCTTGTGCCAGATCCTTCTCCAGACGTCCGCGTGCGGTCTTCCCCAACTAAAGCACCATCTCGGCCCCCGCCTGATACCGTCAAGGATGCCCTGGTGGTCCGTGAAGATCCTGCACGGCGGCAGCACCGTCTCCAAGGTCTTTAAGAAGGCCCACATCTCGGCCCTCTTGACCGTCTTCTGCTCCTTGAAAAGGCATGGCAGGGGGCCCCAGAGCTGCACCGTGGGGGCGCCTCCCGCGTCGATGGCCATCGCGGCCCACCCCGCCTGCGCCCAGCAGCTGGTGCCCAGCTTGGAGCCGTCGCACACGATGTCGCCCGACAGGAGGGCGTCCGTCCCCTGGAGGACGTCGCAGTGGAAGTCCGCCTCGTCGACCGACCTGTGGGCCCAGTCCGCCGAGGGGTCCCGCGCCAGCCCACGCGTCCAGAGCAAACTGTCCTCCTGCTGCTCCGCCACGTGCTGCCACTCCGCCTGCGCTCGCCTCCTGACCTCGAGCAGCGCGGGGCACCGAAAGAAACGATGATGCGGGGTGCCGACCGCCAGCCCACACCCAATGCAGATGTCGGTCGGCGTGATGCTGACCTCGGCAAGCCTGCTCATGGTCCAGGCCCCCGCCAGCACCACCTTCCGAGCCGCCCGCTTCGCATGCGCAGGGAAAGCCCTCGCGGCCAGCTGCGCCACCACTGGCGGGAGCCTCGGGCCTGGGGCTAGGCTCTCCATGCCTGGCTGCTGCGCCGTCCACTGCTCCCACAGCACTCTGCGCAGGTCAGCCCTGAGGAGCGCCCCGACGTCAGTGGGGCACACCGCCGTGAGGTCCACCATCTCGCCGTCCTTTGTGCAGTAAACCGTCCACGACGGCCAGGTCCACCTCGCTCTCCTCAGTGACATGATGACCGCCCCCGCGGGTCCTTTGACCTTGGCCCACTGCGGGCTCATGCCCACCTCCTTCTGCTGCTGCCTCCACGCGTTGCTCATCTGCTCGCTCAGGAGGACAGCCTCACTGCCGACACTCGTCCTCCTGCTTATCTTGTCCTCCGCGATCTCCATCTGGCTGCCCGCCACCAGCAGCAGCTCGACCAGACTCTCAATGGTGCTGACACCGAGGTAGCCTTCCTCTTCCTGCATGCCTCCTTCGCTTCCTTCCCAGGGACATTGCGCCCCTCTCGACACCAGCAGCCGCCGCACCACCTTCTGCAGCGCGACCTGCTCTTGCCTGTACTGCGAGATGACCTGGGCGCGGCAATCCTCGTCGAGCGCGTCGAGGTAACGGAAGGCTGCACGCCTTCTCCAGCACGCCCTCCGCCACGCACGCCGACACACCTCTGCAGCAAGATACTCCGCCTCCTGAGCCTCCTCCTGGGGCAAGCTTCCACCTGTGGCCTTGGAAGCCGCCTCCCTCCTGAGTTCACTGCGGAGGCCTGCCTGCGCTGCCTCCTGCAGATACTCTGCGACCAGGGGAACACTCCACTGGCTCCAGTCCTCCTGCCGCTGGTGCTTCTCGCCCCTCAGATCCTTGATCCACAACGCCGTCCAGACACCGAGGGCATCCCTGAGCCTGGCACCCGCCTCAGGACAGAAGGCCTGCTGACGACAGGGTTGCGCCTGCCCCTGGCCCCCTGCAACGAGCACTCTCAGGTCTCCTGCCACGGCCTGCTCCCAGACGGCCCTCGCCCACCTGACCACCGGCGCAAGTGTGGCCTCCTCGGTGGGGTCCTCCTTCAGCACCGCCAACTGCAGGGTGAGGCTCTTGGCTCCTCTCGAACCTGGAAGCAACTGACCTGCCGCTCTCCTTACCTGCTGCAGCTGGTGGTCTGGCATGCCCAGGCACTTGCACCCATACATTACCGACCTCTTGAGGCCGCACTTGTACACCAAACCAATCCCTCTAGTCACACCTTTGCCTGAGCCTTTCAGCCCCTTAAGCCTGGCGACCCTGTTCTCCCCAAGAGGCCCCAAGAGGCTCCAAGAGGTCCCCAAGAGGCCCCACGAGGAGCCCGAACGACTCACACCGGGACGAGGCGCCCGAACGACTCACACCACGAGGAGCCCGAACGACTCACACCACGACGCGGGCCCCGAACGACTCACACCACGAGGAGCTCGAACGAGTCACACCAGGAGGAGGGGCCCGGACGACTCACACCAGGATGAGGGGCCCGAACAACTCACACCACGAGAAGCCCGAACGACTCACACCAGGACGAAGAGCCCGAACGACTCACACCACGAAGAGCCCGAACGACTCACACCAGGAAGAAGGGCCCGAACGACTCACACCAGGACGAGAAACCCCAAACGACTCACGAGGAGCGCTTTCTCTCCCTCCTCCTCCGCCTCGTCCTTCTCCCGCTCCCACCACAAGGAGGATGTACAAGGAGGCGGGAGGAAGGAGGAACAGGGGAGATATGCGGGGGCAGGCGGAAACACGCCTGACAAAACACGACTGTCGGCATGCTTCGCAAGAGTTGCTGTTTTGAGATGGGCTGGTGAGGATACGCGAAGCGTAAAGAATAC